AGAGGAGGCCTGAAGTTTCAAATTTCTTGTAAGGACGATTTCTTACGGTGCCCCTCTTGGGGTCTCAGTCACACAGAGATGGTATCTTGGACCAGCAAAGACGCCAAGGTGACAAACGTAGCTCGGATCAGTACACACACACACACACAGGGGTTTTCCAGCAGACGATTACTCCTTCAGTCACGTGGGGACTGCTTATGGCAGCAGCCCCGCTGGCCCTGCCTTGATGGGACTCGCAGGGGAGCCACGCGGAGGCCGGGATGATGAGGGCTGCAGGAAGGACCTCGGGCAGCGCTGCCTGTCCCCGTGCCGCAGGGACGGCAGAAACTCCAGTGGGACGTCAGCAACGCGCCACGTGCAGAGTCAGAGTGCAGAGCGCTGACACATACAGGGACTCGGCTCTGCAGCTTCCGCCTACTCAGATGCCCAGTTTCAGGATGGCCCGCGGCCTCTGCTGAAGCTGCCACTTCAAAAGTGCAGCCCAAAGGCAGGCTGTGCACCTTGGAGCTCAAATGCCACAAGCAGGACCGCTCTTGTCCTTTCTATTGCCCTTCCATTCCACTTCACAGATACAACCGAGACAACGTTGTCTGTTCTCTTTGTCTCGTCTGGGTAAAACAACGTCCATGGGTTGGTACGCCCAGACACAATATTGCTGCATTGCATCTGGACGAGTCCAGGCTCCGTCACTTACTGCCATTGTTTGAGTGCAAGGGAGAATTTCTTCCAAGCAACATCCTACTCCCTTCTTCCCTGCGGATATTCTTCTCAGTCCTTAAGGAGCTGCTATACAACTTAATTAAAAGTCTTATTTCAGCATTTCCTTTATAATGGAGGCCTCTTCCAGCCAGCTCTTGGGACCCTGCCAATAGACATATCAGCCACCAGTACTTAAATCCTTCTGCTAAAAAAAATGCTTCCCTGAAGAGCTTAGACCCCAGCTCTGGATGCCTAAAAGAGCTGATCATCAAAATTAACCAGCTTCAAAAAGTGCTTAAGAAAGGTTCCTCCCTGCTCTCATGGGCTTAACCGTGGACTAAGAAGCGTTTTCTCCAGCATTCATTTAGAGAGGAAAAGGTTTAGTATAGTTCAATTCAGGAAATAAATCCGATGTTCTAAAAAAGGAAGAGAGAATCAACTGTCCTGGATGATGCATCCACCGCGATCCCAAAGAATATGGCACTTCTTGGGCATTAGGAAATGACCAACATCTCCCGTGCTTAACAGTCTGGCTCTGAGGCATCAAGACCTGACTGGAGAACTTCCTAGGCCTGCAGCAAGCATTGCATTTGCCTCCATGTCTGCAGAGCACCCATGAAACACAGGCGTAACTCAATCCATCCAAGTGAGTTATTGGGGAGCATATACAGAATAACTCCCCAGCAAAGCTTCTGCTGAAATTGCATCACCTCTGAAAAGGAGAGTCCAGCAGCTTAAGTGATCTTTATTTATCATCTTGTCAGAATGAAAATCAGCAAAGGATAAACACACCAGGCATGGGAAAAAGCAGGCATACTGTAAGCACTTGATGAAGAATCTAAATGCCCTTCTTGTTTTTGGAGAACAGAAAGTATCATGTGGGTCTCTTTACAGACAGATTGTCCCCAAAGGCTTCCCAAGGCCGTGAGATGTAGACACGACCAAAAGAAGCACGTTGGTGCACTCAGTATCAACGAGGAGGATGGTGCTCGGGCAGCAGAGCTGGAGAAAGGGCTCAGTTCGGCTCTGCCTGCCAGGACAGAGAACACGCCGTGGGCCTGCCCGGCCTTCAGCACGAAACCTTCTAACCCACAGGCAAAGAGAGGTCCCAGTTGAGCTATAAATCCCCAGCCCGCTTTCTTACGGGCCCGGATTGCTCTAATGCCCTTTGTTTTCAGTACATTCTCCTTAGTTTCTCAAAGGGACACTCTATTATCCTGGGAAATCTTGTGGCTTTCCTCCATTTCTATACTTAGAGTTTTCATTTTTTTTCCCCAAGTCTACCCCAAGGTGGTAAATATCCATCTCACACACTGAAACAACACTGCCTGGACTACTAGAAACACACAAACAAACAACACACCAACCCACAGACACCACTGTGGTGACAACAATTCGGAATACGCCATGAGGTCAAGCAGACTCGTTCCTTCCCTTTGGCAGGACGCGGCAGGGACTCGCTCTCCAGCGGCTCAGAAATGCAGCCAGCAGAGCTTTGCTGGGCTTTGCAGCCACAGCACAGAGAACAGCACTTCAGTGCCCAGCCACCCCAGCCGCTGCCCTCCCTGCTGTGGCACCGCGGGAAGCCCAGGGAAATCCCTCTGCTCCTGTCCCTCCTCAGCCTCCCAGCCAAGCAACCAAGAGATGACTCTGCTAAGAGCAGTGGCCTGCTCAAATGGCAGGAGCAAACATGCCAGGAGACACCTCTGCATCCAAGAAGCTGGCTGACCTGCCCAGCGATCCCATGGTGTCTCCTGTCCAGCACCGGGGCCAGGCTCCTCGGAGACTCCTCGAGCTAGGAGAAACTCTATGCGCGCCCACGGGCACCTTGTGCGGATTGTCCCCTCAAGACCACAGCTGTAAATCCTTTCCCGCCCCCTCCCCAGCTGCTCTTGGCTCAGGGACAAATCCATGGGACCCCAGGTGTCCCAGCGGGAAGGAAAACTGCTGTTTCTTTTCTAAGGACAGGTGAATACTCCTGCTGACCCAGGCAGGAGTCAAACCCAGATGCCGCTCTGCTCCGCTACAGTCCATGCTCAGATGTTTCCTGCTGCTGGAGGCAAAGGAGCCTGTCCAGGGAGGAAAGTGGGAAACGCGGAGCTAAAAGACACTGAGGGGATCTGGGCTTTGCCGAGGCCAACACGGACCCCAGCGGGACCTGGATGTCCCCTGGGGCACGAGGCCGGGCTGGGAGCCCACTGCCCTCCTGGGGGGTGTAACACGCTGGCGCCTCCCCCGCGGTGCCCTCGAGTTCTGGCCCTCCCGCCAAACGCGATTTTAGCGAGAGAAAAAGTAAAAAGGACAAATTCTAGCAGAAAAGAAATTAAAGGAGGGGGGCGGTTTCCGAGCAGGGAGGTCCCGGCGGGCTCGGGGTCCCGGCGCAGCGCAGCTAACGGCAGAAACGCCCCGGCGGCTGCTCCCCCGGCACGGCGGCGCCCGGGACCGC